AAAATGTGGGAAAATGGGGGAAATGAGGGAAACAGAAGGAAAGATGTGGGAAAATGGGAGGAAAAATGAGGGAAAGCGGGGAGAAAATGAGGAAAAGCAGGGAAGAAAATGAGGTAAAATGAGAAAAAATGAGGGAAAACAGAAGAAAATGAGGGAAAGTGGGGGGAAATATGAGGGGGAAATGGGGAAGAAAATGAGGGAAAATGTGGGAAAACAGGAGGAAAAAAGGGAAAAATGTGGGAAAACGGGGGGGAGAAAATGAGGGGGAACAGAAGAAAAAAAATGTGGGGGGGAAATGAGGGAAAATGGGAAAGAAAATTAGAAAAAAATTAGGAAAAGGGGGGAAAATGGGGAAAATTAAGGAAAATGGGGAAGAAAAAGAGGGTAAAATGGGGATGAGGGAAAATGAGAAAAATTTGAAAAAAAAAAGGAAAAATGGGGAAATGGGAAGAAATGAGAGAAAGATGACAGAAAGGGGGGAAAAATGAGCGTAAACAGGGAAAAAATGAGGGAGAAAATGAGGGAAAACGGAAGAAAATGAGAGAAAACAGAGAAGAAATGAGGGAAAGTGGGGGTTAATATGAGGGAAAGCAGGGACGAAATGAGAGAAAATGGGGGAAAAAATGAGGGAAAACGGGGGGGAAATGGGAAAAATTGGGAAAAAAAAGAGGAAAACTGGGGGAAAATGGGAAAAAAATGAGAGGAAACAGAACAAATTAAGAAAAAATGAGGGAAATATGAGGGTAAGCGGAGGAAAAATGAGGGAAAATGGGAAAAATTGAAAAAAATCAGGAAAAATGGGGAAATGGGAAAAAAATGAGGAAAAGTAGAAAAAATTTTGAAGAAAAATGAGGAAAAATAGAGAAAAAATTAGGAAAATAGAGAAGAAAAAGTGGGATTTGAGGAAAAAATGGGAACAAAAAGGAGAAATCCAGACCTGTTTTTTCTTTGATTTCACAGAGGACGCTGAACAGGGCCGGCTTCATCCTGTGGCAGTTCAGGGCATGCTTCCTGCAAAAAACAGAAAAATCAGCCCCAAAATCCATTAAAAAAACTCCAAATTGGGATCATGTCACAGGAAGAGCAGGTGAGCAAGGAAAATCCTGGGAAAAATGGGAAAACCTGAAGGAAAGTGGATTTTTTTTTTTTTTAATTTCATCTCATTTTTCTAGAAGAAAAATTCCTAGTTTTCCAGAATTTTGAGCCAAATTCCACACAGAAAAACGGGGGAAATCCACTGGATGTGAAATCCACCTCAAAATTTCTTTTTTTTTGCTACTTTGAGCCTTTTTTTACCTCAGAAAAATCTATTTATAGCTGAATCCCATGGATTTTTAAATACATATTCCCAAAATTCCCCAGTTTTCCAAGCTTTGGGCCTAAATTCCACCGAGAATAAGCCTCTGTGGAAACGCCCTCAAAATCCTCTCTTTTTTTGCTGCTTTTGAGCTCTTTTTCCCCTCAGAAAACCCATAAAAATTCCACTTTTCTCTCATTTTCCCGCTCTGCGAACCTCCCCAATCCGGGCTCCCCATCAGCCCCGCCCCAGATCCTGGGATTTCCCCTCAAAACCTTTGAATTTTTCCCTCAGAACCTCGCGGGTTTTGCCCAAAAATTCGGGATTTTGCCCTAAAAAAAAAAACGAAAAAAAAAAAAAAAAAAAAAAAAAAAAAAAAAAAAAAAAAAAAAAAAAAAAAAAAAAAAAACCAAACAAACACACGGGAGCCACGGCAGGAGAACAAAGGCGGCTCCGATTCCATTGTCCTCAAAAAAACTGGGAATGTGAGGGGAAAATCCCACCAAAACCCCCCCATTTTGGGGCTAAAACCTTCGATTTACATCCCCGAAGGCAGCGCTGGCTAATTAAGTAATTAATAATTAATACTCATTAATTATTCATTTATTACGTCACGCCCAGTTCCTCCCTGCCAGGTCTGCTTCCCGCCCTAAATTGGGAGCTTGGATGTTAAAATTCCCAATTTTGTGACTTTTCAAGGGCTTGGGAAATCCCTAAAATTTGCATTTTTAATAGGAAATTAATAATTAATCCTTAATTAATGGCTGGAAACATCTCAAATTCAACAAACTTCACAGACAAGGGGAAATAAAAGTGGATTTTCCATGAAAAGTGCTGGAAAATTGGGAAGCAGATTGGTGGGTTTGGGTTAATATTGAAAGGATTTGGGTTTAAAAAAGCGCATTCCTCACTTCATGGGAATTAAAACTCCTGACAAACTCAAAATTATCCTGAATATCCCAAAATTCTCCTCAGTATTCCACGAAATCCACATTTAAGAAATCCCTACAGGAGCTGCACGTGGGGAATGCCTAAAACAACACCAGGGAAGGGCAAAAAAATGGAATTTTGCAAGAAAAATTGACAATTCCATCCCAAAAAACAACCCAAAAAATTACTTTAATCCCAAATTTTGAGGGTTTGGAGGGAAAACTCCCGAAATTTCAAATAATCCATGGAAACAGCTGGAATTCGGGGCTGCCATACCCAGAAAGGGCCAAATTTTGGGGCGAGATAAGGAAAAACGGGGACTTTTATCAGCTCACTGAATCGGGACCACTCCCAGCTCCCACAAAACCACGGGAATGAGGGAAAACACACCAAAAAAAGCCCCAATTTTTGTAGGATTTGAGGCATTTCCCTCCTGGAGCAGCAACGAATGCAGTGTTAATTACCCCCAGTTAATTAAGCAATGTAGAACCTGCCAAAATCCTGGAATTCTGCTCATTCCCAGCTCTGACTTTCCCTAAAATTCAGGAATTCCTGGTATGGATGAAGGATTTATTCCAAATTACCCCAAACTGGGGGTCCCACCCCATCCTGGCCAAAATTCCAGCCCCAAACAGCCCCAGTTTTCCCATTCCTGGGGTTCTTTGCCCCATTCCCAGTGGGGTTTTTCCAATTCCCTGTGGGATTTTTCCAATTCCCTGTGGGATTTCCCCCATTCCTGGAGGTTTTGCCCCATTCCCAGTGGGATTTTCCCCATTTTTCAGTGGGATTTTCCCCATAATCCTTAAGTTTTTCCTTCAATCCTGGAGTTTTTTCCCCAATTCCCGAGGGTTTTCCCTCATTCCCAGTGAGGTTTTCCCCATTCCCAGTGATTTTTGTCCCATTTCTGGGTTTTTTACCCACATTCACAACGGGTTTTCCCCACTTCCAGCAGTTCTGCCTGGGATTGTCCTGCCTGACCCCAAAAACTGCTGGGAATGGGGTAAAAACCCCGGGAATTGGGAAAATCCCACAGGGAATGGGGCAAAGTCCCTGGAAATGGGACAAAATCCAAAAGGAATGGGGTAGAATTCCCAGGAACGGGGGAAATCCCACAGGGAATAGGGGAAATCCCTGGGAATTGGGGTAAAATCCCAGTGAATGGGGAAGAACCTGCTGGGAATGGGAGAAAACCCCTGGGAACTGGAAAAAATCTACTGGAAATGGGCAAAAACAACGGAAAAGAAGAAAAACCAACAAGAAAGGGGGAAAAACAACCGGGAAAGAAGGAAAAAAAAAAACGGGAATGGGGGAAAAACGATGGGAATGGGGCAAAACCCACTGGAAATGGGGAAGAACCTGCCGGGAATGGGGGAAAAATACCGGGAATGGGGCAAAAACACCAGGAATGGGGCAAAACCCACTGGGAATGGGGCAAAAACTATGGGAATGGGAGAAAGCCCACTGGGAATGGGGCAAAAACACCAGGAATGGGGGAAAAACTATGGGAATGGGGAAGAACCTGCTGGGCATGGGGGAAAACTCACTGGGAAGAGGGGGAAGACACCAGGAATGGGGTAAACATACCAGGAATGGGGAAAACCCACTGGAAATGGGGGGAAAACGCCAGGAATGGGGAAAACCCACTGGAAATGGGGGGGAAACACCAGGAATGGGGAAAACCCACTGGAAATGGGGGGGAAACGCCAGGAATGGGGCAAAAACACCAGGAATGGGGCAAAAACACCAGGAATGGGGCAAAAACACCAGGAATGGGGAAAACCCACTGGAAATGGGAGGGAAACACCAGGAATGGGGTAAAAATATCAGGAATGGGGCAAAACTCACTGGAAATGGGAGGGAAACACCAGGAATGAG